TCAGGGTCTGAATACTATTGTTTGTTACCAGAGAGAATACTGTAAGAACGGCCCATGTCCCATGTTCTAAATTATGTTGCTGTCCATTTCAAAAGTGCTGAACAAATAGGCATATCAACTACGTCTGTTTAAGCTCGCTCATTAATGTCTTCATCGAAATGATGGCTTACCTCTTATCCGCTCATCGTTCCCTTATGCCGTCTTTTGTACATCTCAATTGTTATATTGCTTATATAGGTCTATCTCATTTTTACATTTACATTTTAGTCATTTAGCAGACGCTCTTATCCAGAGCGACTTACAGTTAGTGAGTGCATACATTATTTTTTTCATACCGGCCCCCCATGGGAATCGAACCCACAACCCTGGCATTGCAAACGCCATCCCTGCCGGCCAAACCCTCCCCTACCTTGGACGACGCTGGGCCAATTGTGCGCCGCCCCATGTCTCCCGGTCGCGGCCGGCTACGACAGAGCCTGGATACGAACCAGGATCTCTAGTGGCACAGTTAGCACTGCGATGCAGTGCCTTAGACCACTGCGCCACACCTATCTCAGTATCTATATAATGTTGTTGGGTTTGTAACCATGAGGAGGGGATACTATATAATGTTGTTGGGTTTGTAACCATGAGGAGGGGATACTATATAATGTTGTTGGGTCTGTAACCATGAGGGGATACTATATAATGTTGTAGGCTAACCGTCTCTCTCTCTCTCTATCTCTGTGTGTGGTGACTTAAAGAAGCGTTAAGGCCTCAACATATTGCTGAATTTATCTGAACTAACATCTGAATTTCTGTCAGTGTCCATTTTGAAAGTGCTGAAGGAATAGGCCTACCTCGTCGCAGCTAAGTTCAAAAGTCTAAACTCATGTCAGCATTCGTTATTATTGAAGGAGAATGTGGTTCTTATCGAGTTACACAAATCCACAAGGAATCAGTAGAAACTATATTTATTTAAGCAAGTCAGCCATATCAGCAATGTTTTTTTAAATGCAGTAAATAAGGCTGAATAAAGTGTTTCGCTACCAGATGAGGCTCAGCCTGGTCTCATAAACGTTAGTATGATATGTTAGGTTTGATATATGGTTCCTTAGGTCGGGGTAGATGGGTGGGCGTATAACACGTTTGAATCTCATCACGGATAACTTTAGCATTTTAGCTAATTAGCAACTTTAACTACTTAGCATGTTAGCTAACATTAGTCAGCTTTCTAACATTAGCCACCTAGCCAGAATTCGTAACATATTGTATGCTTTGCAAATTCGTAACATATATACCAATTGTAATTCGTAACATATCTGTGATGAGGTGATGTTGAAGGAGTCAGGCACAGGAGGGTAAATCACAGAATAACAGGCTTTATTCCGGAACCACAGAGTTACGCAGTAACGCGTCAAACAGTCCAGTGCGCAAAACAGGTGCACTGGAAAATACAAGGCACACAGGGAAAAACCCTGCGATACAAAATACAAGGAGATCCACCGAGCTTCACTACTCTCCACAATAAACAATCACACACAAAGACAAGGGGGCAGAGGGAACACTTATACAGGTACTGATGAGGGGATATGAACCAGGTGTGTGTAATGAACAAGACAAAACTAATGGAATGATGAGCGGTGGTGGCTAGAAGGCCGGTGACGACGAACACCGAAACCTGCCCGAACAAGGAGAGGTGGCAGCTCCGTAGGAATTCGTGACAATATCATATGAAAATGGTAATGGACATCCACAAATTAATACATATCATACTAAATGGATTTACGTACAGAATAATACTAAATACTCTGAGACCAGGTTGCCAGGCTCCGCTGATAGCCAGGTGTGGTGGTGGTAAGGATTCACTCCATGGTGCTGAAAGGAAAGTTCTGCTGTTGGGACAGCTTTATGTAGGCCCAAACAGTTTGTGGGCACTGTTTGTCACTGTTGTAGTGCAATGAATGTATTCTTTATTGTCTTGTGTAGTGGCTTTGCTGGAATGTATCTAAAATAATTGGTTGAGTTTGCCCAACCAAGATTTACATGCTAAAATCACCACTGGCAGAGCAACCTAAAATCCCCCTGTTCAGTATGATAAAAAAACAACAACACAGATATTACAATAGTTTCAAACTGAATGCTTTATTTTTGTGGGAAGTTATTATATAATGAGATAATAAGCCATGACAAGGATTCCATCCACCTTTATTGATGACCTCTGAAGCACAGCAAAACCCATGTGGATTGTGAGCAACATGAACGTGCCCAAGTTTACACTACGATCAAATAACATCCATGGCAAAGCTCTATTGAAGTGTTAATCAAGGAGTGATTAAGAAAATATAACTTTTTTTATGCTGTTGCTGGTCAATTTTATGTGAGAAAAATCTTTCATTGATATATTTTTTTTAATGTCAATAAGATCAGTGTAGAACTGAAAAGAATAGTTAGAGCAATAGGTTTTAGAATGAAGGATTCTTATGAACTAATGTTGAGAATTCTCAAGCAGAAGTCTGTTCCAGAAAGAGAGATCATTGAGTTAGCATGTGTACTTTAGACAGATCCTGATCGGCCTTCAGATGCAGAGGAGAGGCTAACGTGTGCACACCATGGTGACGCCAGTCTTGGAGATGACCCAAAGACGGCCCATGTCGTAGGTCACGTGGCCCATGTGCATGCACATTGGGATATTGGTCCATCCAGTGCCCTCTGGTTTACTGGCCGTGATGCCGTCTCTGTGTTGAAGAAAGGGGTGGGGTTCACGTTTTGAAAGCTTATCCGTTTTTTTTAAGTACATACATTTCTGGACATTAATAATTGTATATAGCCATTGATTTTTTAAGAATATAACTTCTGCCTCTTGAGCTATATACAACCACATCAGAAGCCAAAATGTAAAATGTTAATCAATTGTTTGTAAACCATGTTATTGTAAACAAACAATGTATAGCTTTAAAAAACATGTTTCAAACAAAAAGTAAAAACATAATTGGTCTGTCTTTGCATTCATAGCTCCATCTATGAATTTGAGAGTGGTTACATTTCTCTTGTCCCATACCTCAGCTGTTTACCAAAACAAGTGGCGGGGTGGCCGTGTAGTTGTTTTTTATCCCAAACTGTAATAGGACATCCAACTTTTACATATTTTATCATACACTGTCTACACATTTCTTTATAAGTCTTATAAGTTTAGATCTGATTATATTTGACAGATTTTATTTATGTATCTATTTAAATGTTTCTGTAAAGAGCTTCAAAAAGTATGTACAGTAAGGATAAGAGTTATAATTAAAAGTATATCACTATTATTATAAGTTATTATTACAAGTCATTTTCAAATGAGTTAATCATGTTGAGGGGGGAAAAGAGGGACACTATACATATAGTTAAGTATCAACCTTACCTGGTATAAACATCACCCAAAGAGTTGACCCCAAAGACACTACCATCAGTTGCCACCTCAATCATGGAAAGCTTGCCGCCAATGAGATTCCACCCCTTGTTTTGGCAGTCTTGATTCAGCTGGAAACAAACAGATAAAATCAGGGTTTTAGGACCATTTCTACAGTTATAATACTACAGTTGTAAAATAACAGACACTCCACACTCTACTACTCTACTCCAGATCTCACACTCTTTCCCAGATCTTACAATCATTAAGAAGATATCATCATTCTTGTTGACTGCCCAGCACCCAAAGAGTCCACAACTGTAGTACTTCACAGCTCCTGGCAATCCTGTCCATGGAAGGGGTGAACCTGGACCCTTGTAGCCAACTGTGGCACTACTTGTCAGACAGAATGGAGTATCGTCCATGTTGGCCCCCACAATAAACTGGTTACCCCCAGCATCCACCTGCTTCAGAAGGCCTGAAGACCACAAAGACAGACAAGAAAACAATGAATCATGTTTCAACACCGTGATGGTATCAGGAAAGACAAGAAGTAGGCAGTGGTGTAAAGTACTTCAGTAGTTTTTTGGGGTATCTGTACTATACTTTACTATTTATATTTTGGCAAACTTTTACTATTACTTCACTAAAGAAAATAATGTACTTTTTATTCCATACATTTTCCCTGAAACCCAAAAGTACTTGTTACATTTTGTCAGGAAAATTGTCCAATTCACACGCTTATCAAGAGAACATCCCTGGTCATCCCTACTGCCTCTGATCTGGCGGACTCACTAAACAAAAATGCTTCCTTTGAAAAATGTGTTGGAGTGTGCCTCTGGCTATCAGTCAATACAAATAAAAAACATGAAAATTGTGCCGTCTGGTTTGCTTAATATAAGGACTTTGAAATGGTTTATACTTTTACTTTTACTTTTGATACTGAAGTACATTTTAGCAATTCCATTTACTTTTGATACTTAAGTATATTTAAAACCAAATACTTTTAGACTTTTGATCAAGTAGTATTTTACAGGGTGACTTTCAGTTTTACTTCAGTCATTTTCTATTAAAGTATCTTTAATTTTACTCAAGTATGACAATTAAGTACTTTTTCCACCACTGAAAGTAGGTGTCCTCTGGATAAATATTGAGCAATGCTCTCTACTTACCTGCAGCTTGCTCCCAGTTACCGGCCACATACTTGTAGATTGAGTCTCCCTTGTTGACACCCCAGATCCCTGCTGGGCCTATAGTGATATGCTTCAGGGAACCAGGCAGGCGGATCCATTTATCAGCTACCAGGTAGTAGGGGATTTGACTTGTGTCCGTTGCAACCACTTGTCCCAGTCCTGCGTCGATCTGCATCAGATTATTGATGTTTAGTACCTCCTGACAGTCCCATGCTATAGAGACAAAGACATATGAGTAGAGGACGGTAAGAAAAAGGAGGATGACATTATGGAGCAAACTTCATCAATTCCAAGTTGAGCAAGCATGCTTCAGGTGATGGTAACTTACCATGACTGATGGTCAGGAGACAGAGGACCAGTAGGACGGCTGCAGTGGCTCTCATGATGTCTATGTAGATCTACAGTATAAGTTTGGTTGTACACCAGATTTCAATTGTCCCCTTGCAGGACTTTGCGCTTTTATAGCCCTGCACACAGCTTTGACAGCAATGATGGCTTCCTGTTCCACCTGTTCGACGAGTTGATGGGAGGCTGGACCCGGACCCCGACCCGGATCCGGACCCGGATCCGGACCCGGACCCGGGAAAGTAAAAAATGATGCTGTCGCTGCTTCCTGTTATCAAAAACTTTGGATAAATAGCCCAATGTCAAAACACCGTTTTGAACTGTCCCAAATCAATAATAATTGAAAACCTAAAATGTACTATCTTCACATACAGTGGGGAAAAAAAGTATTTAGTCAGCCACCAATTGTGCAAGTTCTCCCACTTAAAAAGATGAGAGAGCCCTGTAATTTTCATCATAGGTACAAGTCAACTAGGACAGACAAAATGAGGAAAAAAAATCCAGAAAATCACATTGTAGGATTTGTTATGAATTTATTTGCAAATTATGGTGAAAAATAAGTATTTGGTCAATAACAAAAGTTTCTCAATAGTTTGTTATATACCCTTTGTTGGCAATGACACAGGTCAAATGTTTTCTGTAAGTCTTCACAAGGTTGTCACACACTGTTGCTGGTATTTTGGCCCATTCCTCCATGCAGATCTCCTCTAGAGCAGTGCTGTTTTGGGGCTGTCGCTGGGCAACACAGACTTTCAACTCCCTCCAAAGATTTTCTATGGGGTTGAGATCTGGAGACTGGCTAGGCCACTCCAGGACCTTGAAATGCTTTGTACGAAGCCACTCCTTCGTTGCCCGGGCGGTGTGTTTGGGATCATTGTCATGCTGAAATAATCAGCCACGTTTCATCTTCAATGCCCTTGCTGACGGAAGGAGGTTTTCACTCAAAATCTCACGATACATGGCCCCATTCATTATTTCCTTTACACGGATCAGTCGTCCTGGTCCCTTTGCAGAAAAACAGCCCCAAAGCATGATGTTTCCACCCCCATGCTTCACAGTAGGTATGGTGTTCTTTGGATGCAACTCAGCATTCTTTGTCCTCCAAACACGACGAGTTGAGTTTTTACCAAAAAGTTATATTTTGGTTTCATATGACATTCTCCCAATCCTCTTCTGGATCATCCAAATGCACTCTAGCAAACTTCAGACGGGCCTGGACATGTACTGGCTTAAGCAGGGGGACACGTCTTGCACTGCAGGATTTGAGGCCCTGGCGGCGTAGTGTGTTACTGATGGTAGGCTTTGTTACTTTGGTCCCAGCTCTCTGCAGGTCATTCACTAGGTCCCCCCGTGTGGTTCTGGGATTTTTGCTCACCGTTCTTGTGATCATTTTGACCCCACGGGGTGAGATCTTGCGTGGAGCCCCAGATCGAGGGAGATTATCAGTGGTCTTGTATGTCTTCCATTTCCTAATAATTGCTCCCACAGTTGATTTCTTCAAACCAAGCTGCTTACCTATTGCAGATTCAGTCTTCCCAGCCTGGTGCAGGTCTACAATTTTGTTTCTGGTGTCCTTTGACAGCTCTTTGGTCTTCGCCATAGTGGAGTTTGGAGTGTGACTGTTTGAGATTGTGAACAGGTGTCTTTTATACTGATAACAAGTTCAAACAGGTGCCATTAATACAGGTAACAAGTGGAGGACAGAGGAGCCTCTTAAAGAAGAAGTTACAGGTCTGTGAGAGCCAGAAATCTTGCTTGTTTGTATGTGACCAAATACTTATTTTCCACCATAATTTGCAAATAAATTCATAAAAAATCCTACAATGTGATTTTCTTGATTTTTTTTTCTCAATTTGTCTGTCATAGTTGACGTGTACCTATGATGAAAATTACAGGCCTCTCTCATCTTTTTAAGTGGGAGAACTTGCACAATTGGTGGCTGACTAAATACTTTTTTTCCCCACTGTACATGTGCAACAATAGTATTCAGATGGCTTTTATTTTTTTAAACTAACACGTTATGAACTGCATATGAGCCAAAAACGCTGTAGTTTTGATCACTCATATCGATGGGGGGGGGGGGGGGGGGGAATCAGGTTGTATGCGGAAACTGGAAAGATTTTAACATCACTGGTTAGAAGACAGCGTGTCTGATGGAGATTCAGGTATGCTGCTGAAACGGGGAAGGAAACAACATCTGTTTGTTTTTTATTTAACTTCAACGAATTACGACCCTACGTAGGACATCATCAGTGACCAAGGTTGGGGTTGGGGTTGGAGTGTGTAGTCATGCTGTACTTCGCTCCGCAAGTACAATGATACACATTACATTACAATGGAACAATTTGATTAGTGTAATGTTAGCTAGCTACAAAGTTGTCTTTGTATCAAAGATAAAGGTGTAGTATAGAGAAAATATCGAGGTTAGCTAGCCAGCTACATTCGTTCGCAGCGTTATTCAAACAAAGTCAACACCGCAGCCATTGCTAGCTAGCCAACACTACCATCTAGCAGAACTGTAGCTAGCAGCGAAATACAATATCATGCTAGTTGGCTGTGGCGTCATATGACTAGGTGCCCTGGACGATTTTCACGGAAGAATACTGTACCAAGTTAGCTAGCTGAATAAACTAAGTTAGAGTCTATTCCTATAAAACATTGAACCGCTGTAGTGTACAACAATTATCATTTCTAAAGTGGAAGTTGGGAGAGTTATATTTGAGTGTTTTAGTGAAAGGTAAGTGAGGGAGGCCCCGCTCTCTCGCTTCCCCAGATGTTTAGGTAATTTTATTCTGATCTCTTTTGCATTACTGTAGCCTTTTCTGTAGCCTGTCAACTATGTGTATGTCTATCCCTGTTCTCTCCTCTCTGCACAGGCCATACAAACGATTCACACCGCGTGGCTGCTGCCACTCTAATCTGGTGGTCCCTGCAAGCACGACCCACGTGGAGTTCCAGGTCTCCAGCAGCCTCTGGAACTGCCGTTCTGCAGCCAACAAGGCAGAGTTCATCTCAGCCTATGCTACCCTCCAGTCCCTCGACTTCTTGGCGCTGACGTAAACATGTATTACCACAGAAAACACTGCTACTCCTACTGCTCTTTCCTCGTCTGATCATGTGTTCTCGCATACCCCGAGAGCATCTGGTCAGCGCGGCGGTGGCACAGGTATCCTCATCTATCCCAAGTGGACATTCTCTCTTTTCCCTCTGACCCATCTGTCTATCTCCTCATTTGAATTCCATGCTGTCACAGTCACTAGCCCATTCAAGCTTAACATCCTTATAATTTATCGCCCTCCAGGTTCTCTTGGAGAGTTCATCAATGAGCTTGACGCCTTGATAAGTTCCTTTCCTGAGGATGGCTCACCCCTCACAGTTCTGGGTGACTTTAACCTCCCTACGTCTGGCTTTGACTCATTTCTCTCTGCCTCCTTCTTTCCACTCTTTTCCTCTTTTGACCTCACCCCCCCCCCCCCCCCCCCCCCACTCACAAGGCAGGCAATACGCTTGACCTCATCTTTACTAGATGCTGTTCTTCTACTAATCTCACTGCAACTCCCCTCCATGTCTCCGACCACTACTTTGTATCCTTTTCTCTCTCGCTCTCCTCCAACACTACTCACTCTGCCCCTACTCAGATGCCGTCGCAACCTTCGCTCTCTCTCTCTCCCGCTACTCTCTCCTCTTCCATCCTATCATCTCTTCCATCTGCTAAATCCTTCTCCCTCCGATCTCCTGATTCTGCCTCCTCAACCCTCCTCTCCTCCCTTTCTGCATCTTTTGACTCTCTATCTCTACGCTCAAGGTCCTAAACGATATTATAACTGCAATCGATAATAGACAGTACTGTGCAGCCGTCTTCATCGACCTGGCCAAGGCTTTCGACTCTGTCAACCACCGCATTCTTATTGGCAGACTAAATAGCCTTGGTTTCTCAAATGACTGCCTTGCCTGGTTCACCAACTACTTCTCAGATAGAGTTCAATGTGTCAAATTGGAGGGCCTGTTGTCTGGACCTATGGCAGTCTCTATGGGGGTGCCACAGGGTTCAAATCTTGGGCCGACTCTTTTCTCTGTGTACAGTGAGGGGAAAAAAGTATTTGATCCCCTGCTGATTTTGTACGTTTGCCCACTGACAAAGAAATGATCAGTCTATAATTTTAATGGTAGGTTTATTTGAACAGTGAGAGACAGAATAACAACAAAAAAATCCAGAAAAACACATGTCAAAAATGTTATAAATTGATTTGCATTTTAATGAGGGAAATAAGTATTTGACCCCCTCTCAATCAGAAAGATTTCTGGCTCCCAGGTGTCTTTTATACAGGTAACAAGCTGAGATTAGGAGCACACTCTTAAAGAGAGTGCTCCTAATCTCCGTTTGTTACCTGTATAAAAGACACCTGTCCACAGAACCAATCAATCAATCAGATTCCAAACTCTCCACCATGGCCAAGACCAAAGAGCTCTCCAAGGATGTCAGGGACAAGATTGTAGACCTACACAAGGCTGGAATGGGCTACAAGACCATCGCCAAGCAGCTTGGTGAGAAGGTGACAACAGTTAGTGTGATTATTCGCAAATGGAAGAAACACAAAATAACTGTCAATCTCCCTCAGCCTGGGGCTCCATGCAAGATCTCACCTCGTGGAGTTGCAATTATCATGAGAACGGTGAGGAATCAGCCCAGAACAACACTGGAGGATCTTGTCAATGATCTCAAGGCTGCTGGGACCATAGTCACCAACAAGGGTTTTGCCACCAAGTACTAAGTCATGTTTTGCAGAGGGGTCAAATACTTATTTCCCTCAATAAAATGCAAATCAATTTATAACATTTTTGACATGCATTTTCCTGGATTTTGTTGTTGTTATTCTGTCTCTCACTGTTAAAATAAACCTACCATTCAAATTATAGACTGATCATTTCTTTGTCAGTGGGCAAACGTACAAAATCAGCAGGGGATCAAATATTTTTTTCCCTCACTGTATATCAATGATGTCGCTCTTGCTGCTGGTGACTCTCATATCCACCTCTACGCAGACGACACCATTTTGTATACATCTGGCCCTTCATTGGACACTGTGTTAACAAACCTCCAAGCGAGCTGATAGC